CGTTTGTGTTCTTCTTTTTCATAAAACCATCGATTTTAGCCGAACCTCCTACTTATTATGCCGTGCAACATCTCCAAGCCATTATGTATGTTTCATTTACTGGTATAATACAAGCATCATTTCTTCAACAAAAGAATACTTCGAAAAACATGTAATTACTCTTATTCGTATAATTTACTGCAAACGTTTTGATTGATTTTCTTATCGTACAAAATGTACTTTTTTCTTTACTTAATTTTCTTGTACGAGGTCTGTTAAAAAAATAACCGAACTTTTTTAGTTGTGTGTTTGTGTATCGTCATAGCAACGAACAGTTGACAGCACTGCAATTGTCATAATCTTCCGCGTAACTGACTTTTTTACAAATTCTTTACATCTTGTTTAGTTTCCGAGTTATTGCTATTTGAGTGCAACGTGCTTAACTGTTCGTGGCGATTTTCGCAATGTCCGAGTTACGAGAGCAACGATGCAACGTGAAATTTTGCGTAAAACTGGGGAAAACATTCACGAAATCGTTTAAACTGTTGAAGCAAGCTTACAGAAGTGATGCTTTTTCTCGTTCGCAGTGTTACGAATGTTTTACCAGATTTAAAAATGGACGTCAATCAATTGCAGATGATCATCGATCTCGAAGGTCTTCGACTTTAACTGATGACATTCACATTCAGAAGATCAAAGATCTTGTGTGCATTAACCGTCGTCTGATTATCAGAGAACTTGCAGAAGAGATTGGAGTATCAATTGGGTCATGTCATGAAATTTTGACCGAAAAAGGACGCCGTTTTGACTCAATTGAGGACATTAAGAAAAATTCGTCACAGGCATTGAAGGATGTTCCAAAAGAAGCTTTCCAGGAATGCACCGTAAAATGGAATCATCGCTGGAACAAGTGTTTGAATAGAGGAGGAGAGTACTTTGAAGGGGACAAAGAGCAATAAGTTGTACATTAAATAACAAAAATTTGTTTAAAATAGTTCGGTTATTTTTTTAACAGACCTCGTATACCATCTTATATCCCTCTAGAAACGTTAAACTAACAAATATTATAAATTTATTAGCTATTATAATATGTACTAGTCATATACAGAATTTTTTCTCACTTTACATCACCATTTGTATCAAGGTACGTCATTTTAATTATTTATATTTGAAAAACAATTGAATATCTACAGCTAATATTTTGCATACACCAAAAGGGATGACTCTACTGTGGTTCTGCAAAAGAACATTAAAATCGAGGTGGACCAGTTTGCGTCCTTTTCTTGCAAGACTAACTCAGCAGGGCCAACAGTTCGCTAATTAAAGGAGGACACGGGCATTAGGGAGACTCGAATTACGCCGCTCAGTATCGTTATGTAAATTTTGAAAGCCAGTCGTGTCGGAAAGGCGAATCCCGCATCCCGACGGGTTTTATCCATGCGTGGGAAGCTCGATTACTTCGTCCGGATAATAAGCAGGTCTCTAACCGATGTAGGAACGAACCTCGAAATCCCGATAGAGTTTGTCGAAAAGTTTCGTCGTGGTTGCTACTGCGCTTTAGGTAGAAATTCAACGCGCGCGTTTCGGACGAAACGCGAGAAGTGGTTACGCGCAAAGAGAAACAGATGTAAATTTTCTTACACGTCGCGAAATAAATGAAGCGAGCGGCGACGCAAACTTAAAGGGAGATATTTAGCGTAACAATCGTTTATTATGCGACTCCACGGTATAAATGAAATTTTTTATCAAAAAATTATCATTCCGTTAACGCGCCTTTGCAACGGAGTCGCGAGAAGCGTACGCGATTAGCGGCATAACAATGAATGCCAGTAGAGATTTCATATTCCCTGTGAAGTAGATACTATGTTCGCTATTAATTCTTAATTCTCTTTTCCTTTTTATATTTTCAAAAGTTTAATTCGAAACGTGGTACTGAAAGAAGCGTGATCGAATTTTGGAAATTAATAATATTATTGTACTTTGAATTGAACACCCTATACACTCTAACATTATATGGAAGAAGTTGAAGGACCGATTTGGAGATAGCAACAATGTATTTTTCTTGTTATCAAATTCGAATAATTTCAATTGAAGTCTGTGTACATTTACGCGATATACCTAACTTAAAATCATTCTTCTCGAATTGACATATCTTGGGAACCAATAGACCGCTTGATTTGAAATCTGAAGCACATGCAAAGTAAATGTCTTCCCATCGACTGAAGTAAAATAAACTCGATATATTTGCAAAGGTATTCTTGCTCCTCGAAGAACCTACAAAGCTCATCGATGAAGTTGAATTTATCCTGCATATGCTACATAACGTGTAAAATTCTTGGATTTTTCAGTTCTTTCAGATAAAAAAATAGCTAACAAGAAAAGATACTGAGGATGCATTGTTTAAAATAAGAATCTAAATATTACATCAAAATCGTATTATTACACTAATGATTCTTGTAATATAATATAAACAATGCTGAAAATATTCTCTGGTTTAAAAAATGTAATCGTACTTTCAATTACAACTCGTAACTATTTTTCCTGTTTTGTTTTACCTTAGTGATTATTTTAATTTAAAATTATAATCGAACTATTTTTTATCGTCACACAATATAAATAAAACATTCATTGCTTCCAGAACCAAGCAATCAACATTAATCTGATTCTACTTAAAAAAGTGAAACACAGAAGAAAACGACTGTCACATATTTTACCCCAATAAATGATCCCAAGAATATTCCAAGAATATTCCCGGTTAAATGTAACTTATAATCGCGTTTGGGTAATATTTAGTTCGCTCTGATTTCCCGTAATAACGCAAGAACTGCATCGTTATCCGAAAGGAAACTCTATGATTACAATTTTACTGCTCCGAAAAACACGCGACGAAGATACACGCGATCGACGAGACGCCATAAATGATCAACGATTTTAAAACGACACGCACAAAGGAGCTCCTCCGAGTTGCCATTATTAATTATCATCCCCCTCATCGATTTATTCGTCTCTTTAGACTTTGCTCGAGCAACGTTCATTTCCAGGACGGTCGTTTGAAATTGCATTTGAGAAATTATGAAGCGAAACACGGTAGGAATTACCTATGGACGTGTAATTTGCTGTTCGTTCATGTAATTCGGCAAACTATTCGGAATTGACCAACTCCCTACCCGGAACGATTACAAACAGCCACGAGACAATTCACCCGTTCCCGGTTAAATGTTCAAATAATTCCTGTTTCTCGCAGTACTTGCAATTAATTGCAGCCAAACTGACGCCTAATAAATGTGCTCGCGTTACTAATAACTTGATCTGTATCCCTTGATCCCTTACCGCGTATGCATTTCAACGACGAGACTATTGATTCTGACTAATCGACGCACCATTCCCTTGTCTTTTTATTTCACGTAATTACACTTTAGTGATCCATTTTAACCAGTTAACTGTGGCACGCTCGTTTGAGAGCGCGCACCGTTTTGTGTCGCCAGAATCGAGCCATGACGAGTATACTCGTCAATCACAGAGTAAGTTGCGCTGGTAAGATATTGGATCAAAAAGATGGGTTTATTTTATAAAATTGACAATTGTATTAGTAATATTTACTTATTTGTTTAACATACACATATATTACATACATATTAAACTAAACACGCAATAAAAACCCACTCGATAGCTAGATATCTTCGGGCCAGTTGGTATCAATAGGCTCAGCGCCTGGTCGGTGTCACGCATTTGTCCCATGACTGACCATACCTGAAGGAACCCTATTATAAATCAACTTTCTGACTTTTGCCTTTGCCCCTTTTGGGCTAACATCTAAAAAACGTTATCATTGCACATAAATAAATTCGTTATGCGAACTGGTAAGCTGTTTCAGCCGGTGCATACGGGGATGCATAAGTTCATCTCAAATTATTTATATTTTTTATTTGCTTGTTTTATTCCGCCATGGCCTCAAAATATTCTAAACATCTTGAAATTTAAGAATATGTTTTGTTTTTCTCAAAAATTACAATTTAAATAGTCAATGGTAACTACTTTATAGGCATGACGAGTATACTCGTCAATACACAAAATCGTGCCACTTCTCCATGACGAGTATACTCGTCAATCACAGTTAACTGGTTAATTAAAAATGTTTTTAACAAATTAACAGTTTACACGACATTGTGGTTATTTGGTATTTTCGCGACCATCTGTAACTTTAGGAGTATTGAACTTTGAAGCCTGTGCCATTTGTGACTCAAGTCATTTCACTAATACAGATATGTTGTTTTCCTTCGACAGAGCGTTGTAAAAGCAGAAAAGGACTGGTAGTTTTAAAGATATAATTAATTAAAGATATAGTACGATTATAGACTCACGATTGTAAAGCAGTAATGGCAAAGTGATATGTTGTATATCTTTTTATTTTTCTTCTTCTTGCTTTCTCTCTTTTACGATGGGTCTTTGACTACCAGAATGATATCGTAGATGTGAGAAAAATATAAATTAAGGATCACAGAATAAAAGCTTCTTTATTACAGAATATTTTTTTAATTTGTATGCCATCGCGATTTGATAACGAAGAGTTTTACAAACAAGGTATATCAAGAAGTATGTATCTCTAACTTATTATATTTTTAAAACTATGAGGTAACTACGGCTTATATTTAGCAGACATACTCAACAATTTGTACTCTATCAGCTTATGAAAAATCGTCGAAATTGGTGCGGTACGATTAGAAAGAGATGAGTCAATAGTGACTCCCGCACAGTGCTCGCAGGGTTAACGTCTGTCTCACATTCGAACAATTTTTACTTGATTCTCAAACACATGGTGCCCCCAACAAATCTGTAAATCGATTCCAATAGATTACATAATAAGCAAATCCAGAAGTCTTCTCGATGATGCAGACAGTATTTCTCTAGACAGAAAGTTCTCGACGAAAAGTGAAAGAGAGACGGTTGAATCGTAAAGGAGAAAGCGAAACGCCGAGTAAAGAAAGAAAAAGAAAGTTTTAGGATGGAAAGAGAGAACTCACCCTCGCTAGAGCCACGGCTGGAAAGCTGTCCCAGGCGAGTTGCGCTTCCTCGCCCGTATTTCCATGACGTTGACCCAAGAGGATCCTTGCAGCCGTGAGAGTGCTCATCCCCATCCCATCGCCGACGAAGAGAACGACGCCCCGCGCCACGCCGCTCGGAGGCGTCGTCCCGCTGACGCTCGAACTCGCCGCGGACGCGCGAATACGAGCTTCGATCGCGCGTATCGCCGCCTCATACCAGACCTCCCTCTCTGCGAACAGAAATTTTTCTCGACTGAGTGGCCCGTGCCAGAGTCCCCGACACCTATCTTAATTGAATCTATAGTCTCGAAGCGTTGCCGAGAAAATCGGCCATTATTGCCAGGCATTTGCCGTAAGTATTGTTCGGTTATCGCTCTTTGTTGTCGGCTGTATAGAGGTATGTTTGAATGGAGCGAGAGAAAGACGGTCTTTTCGTGAACAGGATATAACGTTGCGTGGATAGCTTTGTGTGGATTGTTACATCGGAGCTTCTACACCGTCTTCCTTTCTCGTAAGTTTCAGCGTGACTGCAACATGATTCTTACGAGGACAGTGTCTGTACCGATATTCGCCGATTTTAATCAAATTTGATAGGTTTGTAGGCTTATGTGTACAATAGGGTAATCCTTATTTTTCGACTTTCGATTACTTTTTGTAATTACGATTGTGACTGAACTTCAGCGAGATTGGACAACAAAAACACGTGTCACATTTAAATTATTGGGAGTACAAATTAGTTCGGTCCGTTTTGAAAAGATAGCTCTGGCTGTTATGAATGTTTCCTAGTGACAGTTGATTTCGGTGGTTTCAGAGAGGTTAGACATCTACCAATAATATTCAGTGTATATCGCTTTGAGTATCATACAAAACTTTTGTTTTTTACTGTGTTGAACATGTGAAATTTTGTGTTAACTAAGCAGCATTTGTGGGAGGTTTTAGTTTTCTGTTTTAATTGAAAAAAAGTGCAGCTGAAGCGCATAGAATGCCTGTAGAAGTTTATGGTGGCAATGCTCCAACTGATAAATCATGTAGGGAATAAGGAATGGTTTCGACGTTTCAAGAATGGTGATTTCAGTGTTAAAGATAAGCCTTGCTCTGGACAGCCAAAAAAATTCGAAGACACAGAATTGGAGGCATTACTCGATTAAGATCCGAATCATTGGGAGTTACGCAACAAACAGTTTCCGTACGATTGAAATCCATGGGAATGATTCACAAGCAAGGCAATTGGGTGCCTTATGAATTGAAACAGAGAGATGTTGAAAGGCGATTTTTCGCCTGCGAGCAGCTGATTCAAAGGCAACAAAGAAAGGATTTTTTACATCGAATTGTGCCTGGGAATGAGAAATGGATATTCTACAATAATCCCAAGAAGAAAAAATATTACGCTATGCACGGTTAATCGTTGTCATAGACCTCAGCATCAACAAAAGCCGAATATTCATGATTCGAAGGTCATGCTGTGTATTTGGTGGGACCAAAAGGATGTTATATACAATAAGCTGCTACAACCTAGCGATTCCATTACGGGTCAACGGTATAGGCTACAATTGATTCGTTTGGACCGTGCATTACGAGCAAAGACATGACGATGTTATTCTTCTTCATGATAACGGTCGGCCTCATGTCGCAAAAGTCGTTAAAAAATATTTGGAAACCCTCAAGTGGGATATTTTACGGATTACTGGTTATTCCGGCGGATGCAGCACGATTTGGCAGGTCACCGGTTCACTTCTCTCGCAGAAATCGAAAATTGGCTCCTAACTTGGATCGCCTCAAAAGACGAAACACTTTTTCGAGATGGAATTCGAAAATTGCCTGAGAGGTGGGAAAAAATAGCAGCCAGCGATGGACAATACTTTGATTAATCTGTTCATTCATTTTGTTATGGAATAAATGCATTTTAGACCACAAAAAAAAAACGGACCGAACTAATTTGTACTCCCAATAGAGTTTTGAAATTTTTGTGACTTCGCGTTAGAGTCGTATGCAATTCTACCATCTTATACCTAAGTTGTCGACTGATATTTTTTAGTGAAATTATAATTCCTTATGTCTAAAGTAATAACTGAGTGTGATTTTCATTGTTATATTTAGAATCCTATACAACGCAGCGTCTAGAGTAGATAAGTATAGTACATATTAGGGTGGCCCTTATTTTTCGACTTCCGATTTTGTTCGGTCTTACACTCTTAAACTATGACATTTAGAGAGAAAATAACATGCGCAAAATTTTAGAGTGATTAGAAAACGGGAACCTGTGCCGCATTTCAGTTAAAATTTTTAAATTATAGGTCGCCTCCCATACTCGCCACCAGAGGAGTTGAGCGCTTGTGAGAGCGCGGACTCCTCTGGTGGCGAGCATGGAAGGCGACGCCACAGATGACTTCACGTCAATTTAGGACATAATTGTATCGTGCTATTTTAGAAGTATTAATGAATATTTTTAAATAGAAGTACAATTTCTCAGATATATATATTAATAATATTTGTATATTACTTTCAACAATAAGGCCATAGGAACAAGAAACATCTCTTATTTAGTCATCGTTAAGAGTTCGACGTGTGCAGTTCGCAAAATATTATTCATAGAGAAAGTGAATATGTACAAAAATGGAGACCAGAAGTTCCAATGAAATATATTTGTTGAGGCATGACGAAAGTAAAATTATTGGAACAAAGTTTCCTAGCAATAGACAAGTATTGTGTGTTATTTTATAACGTACGGAAAATAAAATTTGATCTCAAGATTGCATGAAACATGTACGAGAAGAACAGAAGACTATGACTGTGTACTTGAAAAATGGTCTCCTTTTCTAGTAACCCAACAATCAAGCGGCTTTTATTAATTCTTGCGAAAAAAGGGAAAAAACCTTTTCCTAGCACGATGCAAAGAAACGTAATGTTTGACACATGATTGTACGTGTCTTCTTGTCCTTTCAATTGAAAATAATCGTATGACAAAACGTAGCACATCTACGTTCGGTTTTAGTTTCTATACATAAGGAAAAACCACGAATTATGACTCACTCCTTATGTTATATGCAATGTTCAACAATAAACTGAAGGATTGCATTGGAGATCACACATAATGTTATTATTTTACACTAAAGGAATTATAATTTCACCAAAAAATATTGGTTAATAAATTTGGAATAAGATGATACAAGTACATTCGACTCTAATGCGAAATCGTCATAATTTGAAAACTTTAATTCAAATGCAGCTCGTGTTCTAGTTGTCCAATCACACTAAAATATGGCATAAATGATTTCTTCATCAAGTGTCACAATCTATGGGGATGCGTTACAAAAAAAACTAAAAACAAAATTTTGATCCCTATAATTAAGGACTACCCTAATGTACAACAATCGTAAGTATAAAGTTTCCAAGCAATTTTAACTGTAACGTAGTGGCAAGTGTAGAAGAGTAGCAGCAATTTTGTTTCCGATTCAAATCTCATGTCTCCTGGAAATTTGATCAATTAATAGTATTATATTATGTCATTCTATAACAATTAAAAAAATTTAGTGAAAGACTACCACTCGAGTATACCTAATTTTTAGCAACTTTAAAATATTTTTAGAATTACGGTTAGGGTTCTTGTACATTTAATGATGGCTACAACAATATATTAGATATTGGAACAAATATATACAATTCCTGTAAAATAATCAACAAACAAGAACTGAGTAAAGTAAATAGAGTACTAAAACGATTCGACAACTGCTTAGTGCTACCCAAAAAGACACACTCGACAATTTTGACAAAACAGAAAGATTATTTTATCGAAAAGACTGTCTGAAAGTAAAATTTAAGAAATCTTGCTTTATTAAAAATAAATTTTACGTTTTTCTCAAAGCTATGTTTTTTTACTTGACCGTCTAGAAATCTCCAGAACTAGTCATTCAATTTTTTATAAACCTTTTAGAAATATTCTGCAAGCTTCTTCAACTTGTATGATTCTTTTGATATCTCAATTATTTAATTTTCTGAAATGCTTAAAGTTAATTTTTGCAGGTATAAAGTAATTTTTTTTCATGTCAAAATATTTAAAAAATTATACACTGCATCGAAAATGATAGAGTTTTAATTATGAAAATAACTGTGCCATTTTGAAACAGTTTGACTTTCTAAAAATTGAAAAATAAATTTAAAAGTTTGTTTAGATCCTTTGAAAAATTTAAAAATTTCATTTAGTAATCATCTTTGCATTATATTCAAGATGATATATCCTCCCTTTAAAAAATCAAGTATTTCGATCACTCTTTCATATTAAACAGTAATAAATATTCACTAAAATTAAAAAGCACGGCAAACGAGAAGGAACGAAAACCAACCTTGTTACTATTTTTCTATTTGGTTTTTTTAAAATTTCGTATCCGGCGCTTTTCGATACCAAATTGGCAACATCTTATTTGGAAAAGCGACATGTTTTTCTATTATTTTATAAACCATTCAACGCATTTTGCTTTCTCTTCCGGTGAATAAATCATGGCTATGGCGTCAGATAGACAAACGTTTGTCACGTTTTTTTTTGCAGTCTCTCGTGTGAATGCACACAACGTTTAACAATTGATCTGGTAATACCAGCGCACGCTGCACAGCGGAGCAGAATTCAGAAAAATAGCAGAGAAAGTCAAAACACAAAAGTTACGGTTTAATGTTTTTATATTTTTTCAAAACTAGACTATAGTGAACTATAGACTAGCTGAATCGAATGAATTTGAAAACTGGTGTAAAAAGAAACACTGAATCTATCTAGTGTATACAAATATTAAAATAAAACAAATAGCAAATATAAATTGGTCTTATTACAATAACTGTGTAATTAATATACCTACTCCTAAAAACTCTTTAGATTCAAAACTTTTTACAAACCTAATAATATTATAAATCATATATGCATTTATTGCAAAAACTTTGAGTTCTAAAAAGATATTTTTCGAAGAAGGCGAAATGTAGATACTTTTATTATAATTTATTAATAAACTTAAAAATAAATTAGGACACTGTCACGGTCGAATATACAAAATATCATATTTTAAATATTATTTTCCTCTCATATGGTCCATATAATCCCACAATCTATAAACAACACTTAATCATGGAATATACTCAATTACTTTCTTCCCCAACCTACTTAAAGGTCATTGAAATCGATAAAATAATTAATACGGTAATCGATTACCTACGCTTTTTTTAATAGTCATTATTTAATGAGGAAAAT